TTTTTTTTTTTTTTTGGTACGGGGGATTGAACTTGGGTCTTTGCGCTTGCAAGGCAGGCCACTGAACCGCTGAGCTAAATCCCCGGCCCTAAACTCTTTAAAAATCAAAATTAAAAGTTTTCATAACTACACCGAGTTTGCTCCAAGAGAATAAAAAAAAAAAAATCAAAGTTTCTGAATTTCCTGAGGGACAATGTAAAATTAGAGAGTATACGGTGGACCCTTGACTTACAAACTCGATTGGTTCCCGAGGGCTAGTGGTAACTTAGTTATGCTGAGATCTGGATGTTTCCCTGGGTACCCGCTATAGACAACAAGAGGCAGATGAATGTTCCATTAGCCTAATTAACACAAGTCATTTGTATGTCAGGCTGGTCGCACTGTAGTCTCATGAATAGGGCCAAAACATGCAGATAGTTCTTATGCAAGTGTGAGGAAGTGATAGTCATTTGCCATGGCACCAATGCTGAAGTAAACTTACTTAACTGCATACTCCAATCAAAGCGAATTTCTTTTCTTTTCCTTTATTTTATATAACTAATTAAGTACTGACTAGGCACTTGCTCATGTGCTTGAACGAAAACTGTATGTAAATCTGACCAATCATGTTTACCCTGCTGGTGGTTAACAATAAAGAAGAAAACAAAATCCCCAGGGAATGTCCCTAAGTGGTAAAATCTGTATATTTCACACACAGTTTGTGTGAAGGAGGGTATGTATGGGACAGCGTAAAAGTGCACAGACTTAAACAAAGCACCTTGTGGATTAAAGTACGAGGTAAATTTTTAATTAAAACTTTAAAAGTTTGAGTGCTAGAACATTACCATTCTTTGAGAACTCCATTTTCTATTCCAAAAGCCATGAACCGCACATTACTTCTCCACTTCCAGGAGAAAATGTAGATTACTGTTTTTTAAAGAAATGCAAAGGATGCCTCTGACTACAGCGCCAAATTCTAAACATCTAATCAGTCTTCAGTTTTTTAGCCACAGTAAAAATAATATAAGCCATCTGCAGTGAAAGACTAGTGATTTTAAGGGCCTTACATGGGAGGAAGGAGAGACTCGTTTTTCTGCTTTCTCTTTTGTAGTATCTTTCTGAAGCTATTTCCACTCCAAGTTTTAAATTTTAAATGTTCTGAGTTTGTTTCTAGGTATGCCTCTAAACCTCCAAATAACATTTTCCAAACATTTCACTAAATCTTGTACACTTTAAAGCCAACTTTAAGCCTACCTACAGTAGTCAATACTGTCAAACCTATTTCTTACATTCACTTTCTCTATTTAGCTTGGGCCACCTATGATTTTTTTGGGAGGGGCAGTACTGAGAACTGAACACAGCCCCGTACACGCTAGACAAGATATCTCCTTTCTCTCACTGAGCCACAGCCTCAGCTCTTACTTTGAAATAAGTTCTCAGTAGTTTTCCAGGCTGGACTCTATCTTGCAACCCTCTTGCTTCAGCCTCCTTCAAAGAGCACTCATTTTTGGGGGGGAGCTGGCTTGGAGTTTCAGTCTTCACAATAATATTAAATGAGTAAAATCAGTATGAAAAAGCTAACCCTGAATGCAAAGCAGTTTCAGATGTATACAAACCCTGGCTAACTAAATATTGACAGCCTGATCACATTATCCCTGCAACAATGGAAAGTTAAACAGAACTGGAGCTTGGGGTATCATCTAAAGGCAATAAAATGACCCAACCACTTCCAACCAATTAGTAAAACCAGAAAAATAAGCAAGGTAAACTTTCTAGAAGAGGTTACTTCCAACATTCACTGATGCTTTATAATTACTTTTAAATTTTCTTAGCATGCTTGTTTTCGCTTTTGTATTGTCATTAGCTACTAGTTTGATTTAAGGTGAATATTAGTTATTAAGTGATACTTTATTTTCCTACTTGATTGCATTCATATACTAAATGAAATGATTGAATGGGAATCAGATAACAGAATAAGTTTAATTCCATATCACACACATTTCCCTATTATTTGGGGCTTTAAAAACTGTTAGTAATAAAGGCTCAGAATTTTCAACCTAAAAGACACGGGAGAGCTCTAATTTGCTGAAGTTCCTCACTACGGGAAAAACCAAAAGCAGGTCAACTAAAAAAAAAATGATAAATGGTCAAGTTAAGATGCAAACCTATTTCTTCAGGTAGCCAATACAATATTCTACTAGATACAAGATAGCATGTGTATCTTAAAATGATTTTACCTAAACCAAACAGAAAATCATCTCTTTGAACTGATTTTAAATGTGAAGATTTATTGGCTCCAAAGACAGATTTAAAATTACATTCAAAGGTGGTCTCCAAAAATGAACCTCAACAAAACTTACTCATCGAGTCGTATCACTACATTTTCCTAATGCATGGTTTTACAAAGTTAAGGATTAAATAAATGAGTGCCATTCAGAAATGATTCCATCTAACATTTCACCTAAGTAACTATACCAAGGACTTAAAAAAAGTCAGTTTTGTTCAAAATCTTCTTTGCAGGGGCAGGGATTTAGCTCAGTGGTTCTGCTGACTGCCTTACAAGCACAAAGCCCCAAGTTCGATCCCCGGTACCAAAAGAAAAAGAAAGAAAGAAAACAAACAAAATCTTTGCTTTGACATTTCTGTAACTCTTCAGAGAATATTATTAATAGCACTGTCTGTGTCACTCACTGTTTCTGCTGAAAACAATTATTCTCTTTATACTTTTGATAGTCAAGATTAATCTATGCTTAACCAAAATGGCTATGGTTATGCCGGGTACTGCCATTTAAAGATTATTTTAATTAATAAAACTTGTATTACCTTTCCAAAGAATACATAATAAAATAATACCTTTAAGTATACTGACACAAGGATCTAAAAGCAAAAAATATTTAATCCTTAGTTTTCAACAGGTTATATTTACAGATTTTAGAGTTTTAGAAATTAAATTACACTAATCATAAAAATATTCTGTAAATTCCTTTAAAAAGGGATTATTGATCCTAAAAGAATTCTCAAAATGCTTTCAATAAGAATGACTGGGTTAAAGATAAAGAACATAAAATGTTTAGAATTAAGGAAAATGTCATATTTGAACATGGCATGGTAGTTACATATTTTAGCTCTAACATGTTAAAAATCTTTTGGTTAAAATTTAATTATTTATCCTCCAACTGAAATAAAACGTAGACTGATCTAAGGGAAATGTGCTGAGTTCCTTGCTTTCTACTTATTAGTAACTTTGCTAAGTAAGATGCGAAGCTGAAAGAGAAGGTAAAATTCAAATCATTCCCTTCTTAAACTACTTAGCTGTTAGTGTGACTCTGAAGCACAGGGACAGTACAAGCTCGAGGACTTATCTCAACATGTGAATAAAGGCACAAACACACCACATTTCTTAAGATATTTGTCTTACAAAGTTGGCTGTTTTGCAATCAATGTCAAGTCAAAATCAATGTTTTAGTATTGGATACTTGCTGGGGTCAGAACATTCTCTTGGAGTAAAGGATCATCAGTTTTCACATTATTCTAACAGGAAAGATCTGAGGAAAACCTTTTCACCTTTCAAAAAGTGTTACTTGAACCTCCCAATCACTGGCACAAAGTCTACATGAACGGAGAGATCACCCTCAATAAATACGCACATCACTTCTAATGCAAAAGTAACAGACTTTTAAAAAAAAGATTCAGAAAATAAGTGGTATTTTAAACCAAATTGGACATCTGAGTCTATTCTAGTAGCTGTTTGACAAAATACAATTGACTGTTAAAAACACTTTCAATATAATGCTGATGTGGTAATATAAAAAATAATCATATAGTTTGATAGAAGAAAATTGAGCCAGCCACTCTTATTAGATACAAGGCAGATTATTATTTCATAAGGAAATACTTGAGTATTAAGTCTGTTTTCTGAAAACAGACTTAATGAGAATCATCCTTAGTATTTATGGTAAACAATAAAACCAAGTAGAAATTCAGGCAAAATGTGCTTTAGGCAAAGGGTATTTGTGTATCGCGCACACACACACCACAGAGCATCCAGAGGGGTTACAGCTGCTTTTCTCTCACATTCTTGATCATGGTTACATTAAAAACAAAACTAAACTTATCCACTACTTAGTATACAATCAGTAAGAGAAAAGGTTCAAAATAAAAGTAAACAATTTCCCCAAATCCAGAAAGCTTTCTTCCGGCCACTTTTCATTCCAGGGTAGGCTACTACTAAACGAAAATCAGAGAAATGTTGCCAAGTTCCACTAAATAATTCATCTAAATAAAATTAACCAAGCACATCTGAAAAGAGCAAAATTAATAAACTTATAGATAAATATTAAAATTAAAATATCACTTTTGAACAGGAATTTTGAAATTCTTATGAACACTGAAATTTTTCTTGATCCTGATGAAAAGATACGGCAAAAATGAATTACTAGGTACACATTCTATCCCTTTCATTACAGCAAAATTTCTTTCACTTGAAATAAACAAGAATGAAGTTACATACTGTCCTCCCTCTTAATTTAAGGTATGTACTGCTTAGAGTATTTTTCATATTCGACAACTGCCTCAAAGTTTTAGTTGTATTCAACAAATAAGCTTTTGATAGATTATGACTTCTCCATTTTATTTTTTTAATTTGTAAGTTAAGGATGTCAACTTTTCAGTGTCACAGTAATATCCTAAAAAGTAAGATTAGATTTAGTAGTTTGCTATGTGATTTTAGAATACAAAGTATAATTATAAAGATGGCAATGTTTCAAGCCTATTACACAACACCCACAAAAAGATTTAAGAAAAGCACCATTTTTTTAAAAGTAATATTGCGCTGGTGGCAAAAATGCTGACATGCATTTCAAATTTTAAGAAATAAAAAAAGGATTGCTCACTTCTGCTTTAGGTACTTCCCAAAGCAGAAACGATCACTCCTGCAAATAAAAGAGCTGCAATTTTACTAACAAAATGGTTTTTAAATGAATAGTATATTTTAATTTCAGTGCTAGTACACTGTAATGACTTGATAGTTATATATGCATTGAATAACGTAACATTCTTAAAAATACCAGCTTTAGCCAACAATATCTACTATGAAAGCTGGGTTCTCAAATACCTCATCCTGATTAGTTTTGGACCAAATCTTGCAGGCAGAAAAGTGAAATAAATTCCTTCAGATAAACAGAATACTTAATTTACATGTCAATAGCAACTTAAAATTATACCGCCACGTGCAACAATGTGAGGGAAGTTAAAAGGCAAGTATTTATGACGTTTAATTTTAATTTTCCTTTTTATATATACCTTCCAGGAAGATTTCTTTCTACACTTGATCTTAGCCAAAAGGCCGAGAAACAATTAGATTTCTTTCTTTATAATAAATTCTGTTCAAAAGATAAAGAGTTCATGGAGGGATTATGTTTTGTACCAGAGAAGTCCGCAAGCAATAGCAGGGGATTCCCACCACTGCTCGGTCAAACTGTAACCCTCTGGGAGGGCGGGGGTGGGAGTCAAGAACCGAAAGAAATTGGTCAAAAAGGTTATATCAATACTTCTGAAAACACTGAACACGTGACAAACAAGTGTTTTACAAGGCAGTCACTGAATAATTAAAGTAAGCAGTCGGAAGGGTTCTTGTCGTTGAAAACATACATAATGTTCATCCAACCGAAGATTAGTGCATTTAAAAAGAAAATTATGAAAAAAAATCTTTTATGTTCCAGTTCAGCTGCACTTGATTCAAGTGTTGCTTATAGAGGTTTGTGTTGTTATAAATTAAACATGCTGCTGCCTTAGCAGCCAAAGATACTAGGAAAAAATGTTCATGTCACAGATTAAATAGAAGAGTCTCTTTCCAGCAAAAATATTATCTCACGCCAATCCGGGAAGTCATCCACTCCAGACCTTGGCATAACCTAATCAAAAGGAAGAAGCATTTCCAAAATTAAAAACTTTCTGCTTAAAAACTGAAAAGCAGGCTTATTCGTTTTAAGTCTTACTTAAAAGCACGGGTCAAAGGGTGTACATGTAGCTATTATACCAAAAGCCATTTCTAACGGGAGAAAAACTAACAAGCTGGGGTGGTACGAGGATGAGTGCGTTCCTAGGTATGAACTGGGTCACCCATTCATAACATTTTTTTCCTCGCCTGATCCCCCCTTTCAAACTCTTAGGGAAGGAGGAAAGCACTACGACGGCATTTGCCTCAAACATTTCTCGTCCCCAGCGCACTCGGGGTAATAAAGGAGACGTGCTCTTGTGATAAGCTGGATGTGTAGGTTTAAGTCTTTGGAGAAAATATGTATTTCTTCAATCTTTAGTTCCAGTGACACCATTTTCTCTTAGTAGGTGACTGATTCAAGCGGCGGAGGAACAACAAAAATATGTGGATTGTGGGAAGTTTATTACTGCCCCTTTTTCAGTTAGGTTTACATTCAAAATGATGAAGTCAGCAATTTTGTTTACGAAAAGGACTTAACCTTCAAAAGAGACAATATAAAACTATTTTTAAATTAAGAACAACAATGAAAGGAGCAGGAGCAAGAAGAAAACAAGTTGGCCTCAAAGGGGGAAAGACATTCGAAGCCTTAACACTCACCCCTCCCCTGTTAGAGCACAGCAGGACTGAATGTGCCACGGGTGGTCCTTAATGGAGCTAAGGGTGAGGTATTTAGAGATCTCAGCAGCGGTCATGCACCCTTTCATATCCTGCTTGTTGGCAAAGATAAGCACAGCTGCCTTCCTTAAATCCTGCAATCAACACAAATATCTGTTATGTGAAATAGCAGGAGTCAAACTAAAGCAAAGAAGCCGGGGTGTAAAATGTGCGCAGCTGCACTGTTCTAATTAGAGGCCCCTACTTTAAAGTGTTCAGGCATTCATATTTAACTTTAAAAATTTACTGAAATAAAAGTAATCTCAAATAAGCACAATTTAACAATTCACTCTAACAAAGATAGATTAACATAAGCCAGGCAATTATAAGTAATTGTTTTTCTTTTTTGGTACGGGGAATTGAACTCGGGACCTTGAGCTTGCGAGGCAGGTGGCGGAACCACTGAGCTAAATCCCTGGCCTAAAAGCAATTTTCTATTTTCAGGCTAAAGGAGTCAACTTAAAAAGAAAATTAAAAAATGAACCGAAATATGTATCCATATTTTTTGTATGTGGTACTGGAGATCAATTTTACACCAAGCTGGACTACTGGCCCCTGCACCGTGAAGTCCAACGTAACAGTATGGTAGCATGTCACCAAATCCTGGAGCGCTCCCAAATCCAAAACAGAACACCAAAGTGGGAGGCAGGCAGCGCTTCTTTTCAGTCTTTGTTTGACTTAATCTCACTGATTAATGGTAACTGCGCTGTGGCACTGTTTGTTTGTTTGTTTTTGGTAACTGGGTTTTGCTGTTTCTCACAATCCTCTCAGACTCCTGAGTTCAGGGATTCTAGGCATGAATCCGGCTTAGCGGCTTAGCGAGCACTGCTCCTTCTTGCATGCAAACATTAGAAAAAATGTAAACAGTCATTAATAGAAATGATTAACTGTGGAATACTGTATCATTAAAAGAGATGAACTAAAGCTGCTTGCACTGACATGCCATGCTAAATCTCAATGTGAGAAGTACAAGTTACAGAAAGACAAATATAATAATTTTATATAAGGTTTTAAAAACACAGAATACCATTATTTGGTACAATTTGTATTCAAATGTACAATTTGTATTAAGATGTACAAAAATGTATATAGGAATAATAATCACTACTTTTATTGGTTACCTCTGAGACAGAAGCTAAAAAAAATCAGATCGAAAGGTCTCGCTTCAAACCTCCTAAAGTAGCTGGGATTACAGGCATGCACCACCTCGCCTGGCCAATGTTATTGTCTTTTTGTTTATCTCTAATATGTAGAGTTAAGTGATCTCAAACTATTCATTAAGGAACTTTTTTAAAAAAAAGAACTTTTGGCCATTACAAAGAAAATCTTTTTTTTCTTGTTCTTATCATAATTTATTAAACTTTTAAGGCATAAATAAATAAGTAGTCTTAAGTTTTAAAAGTCAAAGTAGTAATAGTAGTATACAAATTAATGTGTTAGGTTTTTTTTGGGGGGTACTGGGGATCGAACTCGGGACCTTGTGCTTTCAAGGCAGACAGCAGAACCACTGAGCTCAATTAAATGCCCAGCCATACTGTGTTTTTAAGTTTGAAAAAGTAGTGATTTTTTTTTTTTTTTTTTTTTATGA